TCGTCGGAGTCGAGGCACGAGAAGATGTTCTTGGAAGCCTACGCCCATGACGCCGTCAATGCCCATTCATGCGCAGCCGCCGGCGGCCTCCTCAGCTGCCAGCGTCGTCGACGGGCCTGCTTACCATGGTAGTAGGTGAAATTTCCTGAGTGAAACTACGGCCAACGATATCCCGAGGCCAGCTCTCACTTCCCCACCACCAACCGCCGAGCCGACCCGCCGCTTCTCATTGGCTGAAAGTCCACCAATCCGAACCGGCGCGATCCTAAACCTCTCACAATGCATACCTGCCACGCAGGTCGCCACGTGTGTTTGGCGCTCCCGCCCAGAGGCCATGGCGGCCCCATTTCGTCCAGATACATGCTGCCATACAGATATGGTTGCAGACGTGTGCGCTATCAACGACGGACGCCAATGCGTTGATGGAAACGTGGCAAGGTGGGTTCTTTTTCTTAATTGCAAAACCTTTCAAAACGTATGTGATGATAACCGTGGCAATTGACTGGCGCGACTTCAACCGCAGAGAAAGGCAGAAGGTTGCTTGCAGGTCTGGGTACTTGTGTGCGGCAAGAGCTCCGTGCATCGCTCGCGGCGATGGCTTGCGCTTCGATATCACCATCGACGCCTACCGCAGCGAGCCACCGCAGCAGACGCTAAGGAATGCGAGCAGCACCTTGGGAATTGAAGTGGTGAGAGTGGGATCCGAACTCGACCGCGAAAAACGCAGCCAAGCTTTCCGGCCGACATTGCAACTGGATGGCTTTAATGCAGCGAGTGTAAATGAGCAGAATACGCAGCACAGGCTGAAAGTATAGCGGATGTCCTCGACAGCCCAAACGCGGCTTAGAAACCACGGGTTTCAAATCGCATTTCGCCCTTCATTGCCGTGTGCATCCTTGGCATCAAATCCACGATTGAGGAATATCATGTTTGCTGGCGTCAGCTTCGTGTGGCATTTGAAAAAGAAGAAAGAAGCTTGAGAAATAGTATGCTCAAGAATGGCCTTGAGCGAGCCTGTAGTAAGCATCGGCGTGCACGTAAGGTTGTGCGCGTAGTACTACCGTACGAGTCGCAAGTGTACACCGGTAACCCATGGCTGGCAGCTATGGCTGGCCCAACTACGCCAGTCAAATGACATGGGTCTTCTTGCTTCATTCCAGGTGGAGCTCGTTTTCCCATGCATCATTCCGTAAAAAACCACGCAGGTTCCTGGAGCAATTTGATGACCTCGACGCAGTAAAGTATCAAGGTGAGGTATCAACCTACCATCGAAAGTGACGGTACGTCCATCACTCCATCGCATCACTCGCCCCGCCAATGCTCCAAGCTCACAGCACGTGGCCATAGACATGCAGCCGCCGATCTTGCCGCGCCAAGCTTTCATGCTACTTGGAGCTACCGGGGTATGCTGTTAATAGTGCGGGGCACGTAGCGTCCACTCACACTGCTTCTGCAAGCGCATCGTGCAGCCGTGGAACGTCCACGACGCCCCATCTTGCCTTTTGTATGGTATACACTGCACAAGGTCCATGGCGGGTCGTGTACAGTTCGATTGCTCGCGGTCGTAGCAGCAGCAGCATGAGCCGATTCTGGTCGACGAGCCTGCGCGATGAGGTCGCGCCGCTGCTGCGGCTCGCGCTGCCGATCTTCGTGTCGCTCATGAGCTTCTTCGCGCTCTCAATGACGGAGCTCATTGTCGCCGGCCATCTCGGCACGACCGAGTTCACGGCGGTTGCGTACGCGCAGCTCGTGCTCGACTTCACCCTGATCATCTTCACGCAAGGCTTCAACAAGGGCCTCGACGCGCTCGCGTCACAGGCGTTCGGCGCCAAGAACTTTGCGCTCATCGGGCGCTACACGCAAACGTGCTGCCTCTGCTTGACCTTGGCCTGCGTCCCGATCGCGTGCATCTGGTGGGTCTGCGCCGACGCCCTCCACGTCGTGAAGGGCGTCGACCCGAGAAGCATCGAGCTCGCGCGCCTCTACGCACGCGTCTCGATCCTCTGGCTCTGGCCGCGGCTCATGTTCCAGGCCGCGACCGTCTTTTTCCAAGCGCAGCAGATCGTCTTACCCTCGGCCGTGTGCTCGCTCGCAGCGGTGCTCTTCAACGCGCTGCTTAGCGTCTTCTTGGTCCACGGTGGCTTGGGCATGGCTGGCCTCGGCTTTGTCGGGT